ACCTTAATTCACTTTATAACCATTTTTTAAATGCAATTCATAAAATAACCACTTTTTATGCAAATATCTTACACACATTCGTAAAACACCTTTTTTTTTCTAATTAAAAAGAAAATATAGTTTAAGACATTTGCTTGTGTAAGCCAAATATAGTTTTTCTTTACACTTTAATTATTATTTAATTTATTTTATATTTCTTAATTTTTTATTTTACATATTTATTATATTAATATATATAATTTATCCGCAATTAGTTACACGAATTCAAACATGAAACTTTAATAAGTTGTATTTGTGCATAATTTACTTGTAATCTTGAAATTTTAACTAATATGCATCAATGTACAGTACTTCATGCATAAAAAATAGTTTTTAAGAGTTTTGTCAAATGTTTTATAATACAATATAGATATATATATATATATANTAAACATATTATTAAATATTATAAATACTTATGAATTATTTTTAATACTTATACTTTCTATATTAATTATTTATTTAATCTGTAAATATAAGTGTATAAGGTGTAAGCATTTAAAGCGATTATTCAATATGAGCTCATTTTAAAAGTATCAAGAAAACGATTATAATAGTGTAATTTGTAAAAAAAATGATGTATTTTAGTTAATATAACGTCGACTGAGATAAAAAAATACAAAACATTAAAATCGAGATATCTCGCTGCATTGTGCGAGCAACGAGTATATTTCTAGTCACCAAGAAAGTAGTTATGATTGGATTTAATTGAATTGATATGACTAAGTGATTTTAGTTTGAATTAGCCAAAATAAACTTTATCTCATTTTTGAACCGCTGACTTAAAGATGAGTTGCACATGTTTTTCCGCCTTTTTATGTTGGAGATTAAATTGTTGACCTACCTTCATGTCCTAGATAAGGTATGGGTCGTCGTCATGTTATTGTACCAGGGTCCTCGTCATGTTATTGCGGTGCCTACTTTCATGTACCTTTTCATCTTATATTAAATATATGGATCTTACTAACGTTATTAAAACTCAACGATTAATTCAATAAATATCTACTGGTAAAAACATGATCAACACCAAATAATCTCCATTAGGTAATAAACATGTCAAAAAGGCTTCCAATTGTTTCGACATTTTTAAAAGGATATTGTTAGCTGACATAATCATATATCTAAACTACGTATGGTATCAGTTTGTTGACATAATCATATATCTAAACTACGTGTGGTATCAATCACTTTGACGATGATGTTAGGACAACAAGTCAACAAATAGACGGTGAGATGGGGTCGGGTGGTGGTGAGTCTGGTGACATAATCAGGCAAGGGGGTTGCGAAGAGGTTGGAGATGGTGTTGAGGATCCTCTGTTTTAATTAAGGCTTTTCATATTTGCATCAATTATCTCTAAATCAATGGAGCTGATGTAGTTGATTTCTTTTTATTTTATTTTGTAATAATCATTTATGTATAATCTTTTTTTTAATAGGATATGTAAATGATTATTATATATGAAGCAAGGAGTAAGATACAACACCGGATGGTCGACGACAATGTATGAATCTATATTCACTGTGACAAAATCAAGTTTATAAGACGTAAAAAATGTCTAAGTGTCATAATACACTTTTTATGTGACTTAGGTTTATTCGACCAAACAATTATGTGTTTCTATAAAAAGCATTACAAGTTTATAGGATTATTTTGGCGTTTCAACAATTTTTAAGAACATTTTTCAAATAATGTCATAATTGCTTTTTTACATGATATTTTTGAAAGTGTCTTGTAAATAGAGATGGCCAAAATGGGTCTGACCTGGCCAGGACCGGCTTAGGATCCTGGTCAGGACCGGTTGTGGACCGATGGTTCAGGCCCCGTTACTTTTCACTATGAAAATTCAAAACTCGAATGGGATTGGGAACGCTTATAATGGGATCAGTTACAAGAGGAAAATCTCAGACTTGAACCGATTTGGTCCGGGGTCGACCAAAGATTGATTTTTGGCCATCTCTAACAATCGTTTATATGACACATTTTTGAGTTAATGTCATATAACAAAATTAATAGAGTAAATTACGTTTTTCGTCCCTGTGGTTTGTTACAAATTTCAGATTTTCTTCTTGTGGTTTTAGTCCATATGGTTCGTAATACATTTATATTTTTGTCCCTAAGTCAAAAACTGCTTTATAAGTTAATTTAGAAAAAACTGCTTCAGCTAATCACCTTTCAAAACAATTGTAATAATCACTTCATAAGCTCCATGGGCTTTTTTCATCGCTTTCTAATTGTGTCCCTTAATATTAGAATTGAGTACCTTTTCAATACATATTCAGATCATTTTACATCGTCATCCAACTTATCAATATTTTTTTATCAAGTGCGACTAATTTATCAACTAACAACTAACTTATAGATCAACAACCAGGTTTTTGACTAACATATAGCTAATCAACTAGTTATTGGTTTACCAAATATAGGCTTATAGTATAGTTGCAGGACATATATATTTTGATGTTTATATTAACAGCAATGGACGAGACTTGTCCATTTGTCGGTAATAAACCTTTAATGTGTGATGGTTGTCACGTTAAGAGTTAATATCAGTACCGATTGCTTGCATGTTAAACAAGCAAGATCGTCAGTACAAAAAGTTAATTGCGCATATTTGCAACCAGAAATATGTACTATAATGATTATAAGTATTTTATATTCAAGTTCCCCATTTTTTAAATAAACTAGTTAAAAAGACCAAATTCGAAACAAAAGGCAACTACAAAGTGGCTATCATAAAAACCAAAAGTATAATTTATTTTTAAAAAATTAAACCAATTATATATTTCACACTTTACAAATACAAAATAAAGTAATTACTGAACTAATGAATATAAATTATATATGTATATTTATTATTATAAAATATTAATTAAAGTTAATCAATTATACATATAAAGAGGAATGATCAAATGCAAACCACCCATATTTGTACAAATCGTGCAAACCATCATTTATATAAAAGAAATGGTTTTGGATACCGAATAGTTTAGTACCCCCATCAATTTTGGTGGGGCGTTATTCATAAATACCGTCCATTTTTGCCGTTATGAACATACTTTTCCATTTACACCATCTCCTGTTTAATATAAAAAATATAAAAATAGAGATTTTTTTTTATCTCTAGTTCAATATTAAAATATTAAAAAGTAGAAGTCTAAAATATTGATCTTTATATATAGAGATAGATAAAATAGGCTTTTAAAAATATATATTAATGTTTTATTCCGCTTTTTTAATTGTATATTGATTAATAGTTTGATACATTAATAATAAAATATAATTATATATTATTTTATCATTAAAAATGTTTTTAGTGTTGTTGAAGTTGGATTTTTTAGTGTGTCGGATACCGACCATTTTAGTGTTCTTTTTAATACTGGGTTAAAGATGCCCCTAAAAAGATAAATTATATGAATATAGACATTTTATTTGAATGGTCTAGAACAATTAGAAATTATTTATTAATATTTTTAGATTTTATTCATATATGAAAAACACGTGAAATGTATTATAATGCAACTAACATGGCCTTAATTTTCACTTAATATAACGATGATTTTTTTTATTAGTTTAACAAAAATTCATATCTTTCTATTTCGTATACATTTTGACTGGTAATTGGTTAAACGAATTAAATGTTGCTAACATGGAATATAACTTTATATTATATGTAATGTGGTGATCGACGTGGTCAAAATGCAGATAAAAATAAAACGAAGTTTGTTTTAATTCTTATTTAGTGTGACCATCTTTTTTTCTCATAGGTATAACAAGCCTTTAAGATCATATTTCGTATCTTTAAACGTTTTAGTATTGTTTTAGCCTTTAATACTGCTTTGCATTACCTTCCCAACATTTATGAGTTTCACGTCTTTTATGGTCTTAGACTTGTTTTCTTCATCTTTCCAGGTTAAAATGATCTATGTCATAAGAACAACATAAAATCAAGTGGCAAAACATATGATAATATAGAAAGATCCTAAAGTTGATTAAATCCAATCAAAAGTATCCCGGATATCCGAACCATATATATGGTCACAAGTTTTTATTATTATACACACATAATAGTAACATTTCAAATGATGATATGCACGTTGTACATATATGAGAAAAGAACACCATACATAAGTCATCTGACAGAGTACACTTGATTTAAGGATGACATACTTGTACAAATATCGTAAATAAGGTACAACAATGTTCATTCGATTATACCGTTTTTGTTCATGTTTTGTGATTCATACCTCTATCACATATTTCAATCCACAAACATAATATAAATTGATCAAAACAAATTGAAATGATCACATCGGTACTATATTCATGCGATATTTGTTGAAGAAAAAGCACTTACTGATACCAAGAACGAAGAATAACACATCACTAAATTTAACAAAAAGATCTCACAAAATAATCAAATTTGATTACCTAAACATTATGACTAAGCCCTGTGACGCATAACTTAGTCAACAAAGGAGTAAAACGATTTTGTTTAAATACACACATGTTCAAGTTTGAATTCTACGAGATACGTGTTTGAACCTCTTTGTTAGCCTCAACCATCAAATTAGCTTTAAAATATCTTACTTACTGGGCAAGGCTTTTGGTACGTGCCTCATTCTTACCATATAAGATTATTAGTCATTCCTTTATTTATCCTGTAAGGTAATAGACTTGGTAAACGCATATCGGGATAAACGTTTGGTAGACAACCCCTTACTTAAAGATACAAAAATGAACGTTGAGGTATAAAAAGTGTTTTAGTATATCAAACAATAATTATATTTTAGAACCTAAAAACAAATTATCTCATGTACAAGTATCAATGCGTTCTGTACAAACAATATAAAGCAAAAAACATAACGTACAAATATTTTAGAAGTGGAAATAGGAAAGAAATACAAAAATTAAAAACCCTAAAAATCCAACCCCCTCCCTTTTGCAAACCCTCCCCGCTTCTCCTTCCCGTCGGCCGAGACAGACGACAACCAACGCACACACAACACCGCTATCACCGCCGCGTTCTTTTCCCCTCCCATTTCCGACAACAACCACCGTCGCCTACGTCTCCGTCTTGACCACCGAGAGATATCAAGCGACCCCGTCGCCTCCACCTGCTCCTCCACACTGAAAAGAAGATCTCGACAGGTAAGTTTGTTTTTAGGTTTTCATTACACGATTTTGATTTGGTTTGAATAAGTATGAAATTTTATTATTATCATTATCTTCAAAGAGTCGAAATGTTAATGAACCGAGAATACAAGGAGTATACACACGAGTGTACCAACTTGATGAAAACTGGAGAAGTAGTTCATTGATACTATCAAGCTTGACCATCTGCATTGAAAATATATATGATCACTGAAACATATATATTTAGCCAATTTTGGTATTGTGCAGAAATGGCAGGTGAGAGACGCGTGCTGACGCTAGGTGGAAAAGGCTCCTCCCTCTCTTCAGCTTCAGTTTTTGAATTCGCCATTGCTTCTCCTCCTATGCTTCTCAAAATTGACCCTTCTGCTCTCGCCAGGCTATCTTCGGCTCCTTCCAATCAGAAATCATCATCACCTCCCTTCAAGTTTCAGCAATCAGTGCCTGATTTTTTAACCCCTGAGGAAGCCAGAGCGTCCATTCTTCTGCTCCTGTACAAGATTTTGCTTGGTGGATCCTCCTCCTCCTCCTCTACTGCGTCTCAGCTATCGGATATACTGAATAATGAGACTCAAACCCCCACGATTGACCTTGATGTCGCACGCCAAGATGACCTTTATCTTTTAAACAGTTGCTGGCCTGGTGTTGCTCTCCATGGTATCTGCGCCCTTCTGGATCACACCGCCTCCTCATTGGCTACGGTTGCTGATGCTGTTGCGGCCTTGTCTTGTGAGGCCTTGAAGGCTGATGCTTCCACTGCCTTTAATTTCTTCACGGACTCGGGTGATGGTTCATCTGACAAAGATAGAGTTGCCGTTGCTAATGATTTCAAGGTTTTGCTTAATGGCTCTAAATTACGGGGTAATCTGCAGTGTGACCAAGTTTACAATATTCCCATAATTCATGGTCGTTTGAGGTCTCTCTGCAAGTCAGTCCACTCCTCAACTCGGGTGGAATTGAATTCCATCCCGTCAGCAGGAGGAGGTGCCAGCGAGGACTTGACCGCACTCCTCTCGTCTCTGGCTTTTGCCCTTCAGAATCTTGGTGATAGTAGTTGGACACGAGCAAAGCTTTGTCTACAAAATTTGGCAAAAGACAACTTATTTCCTAGTTTGGCCGAGAGTTTCAGTGCTGGATGCCCTGACCTTGACAGTTTGAAAGCCTCCATTAATTCTTTTGTGTCATCCAAGATGGAAAAAAGCTACATCAGGTCCTTGCATGAAATTTATAATTTATCTGAGGCTGTGAGAAAGATCCTTTCTTGGGAAGCAACAGTTTCTTTTATATCACTTGAGGGGAGTGAGTTGATGGAGAACGGGCAGGTCGGTACACAAGTAAAAGAGGATATCGATGGAGTAAGTGCGAAATCAGATAAAAAGAAGGACAAGAAAAAGAAGGTTATGGGGAAAGGCACAACTGTCCTTATGCAGTTTATAAAGGATAGATTACAGTCTGTACCAAGTAAGGTAGTTGATAGTTCAGCTCTCCCTGAGAGAGTGGCACAAGGTTTCCTCTCCTTTCTTGACTTGAAAGACCCTGGCTTCGAACATCTACTACAGAAAGTGAAAGATGTTGTTGACAGCAATGAAAGCAGAAGACTTCCCAAGCTCCCTAAGGTAATACCAGGCATATTATAATTTGGCATGCTTATTTTTGATACTTGAAGTTCGTTTTATCTTATAGCAAGTCTTTTGTATGGCATGGTGGTAAATTGTCTACTAACTCAACAAAGCTGTTTTTCTAAATGCAATTTAACTCGTAGCTACTTATAATCATTTGTAATAAAGAACGTTATTTCCTGGAAAGACAAAAGGTGATGCTCTTGGAAATCAAGTTAAAAAATAATGTTCGAGGAAAGCATTTTCTTTTGCTTGGCTAATGCACTCGAAAGACAAGATTGGGGGGGAATGAGAATGGAGATAAAGAACCCACTTAATGAATGCATCAGGTAGGAATATACATGCGTATGCTAATTAAATTTAAGTGTAGACCTAAGTTCGTAAGATCAGATATCATGTACTTGCAATATGATGTTTTGCTATGTTAATATCTATATCCACCACGTTGGTTAGAAGCTTTCATCAGCCTTGGCCAACAAAAGCATTTTTCTTGATTTAGGCTGAGAAGCTCTTTCTTGCTGTTAACCTAATTAGCCTTACTGCCACATCCTGTAACTTATTTTATTTCGCCGATTCATGAGGCTGTAAAAAGAGAGAAAGGGGTACACATAGACTATATCGACGGTACACATCAAAATATTTTCTTGCACCTTGAAGGATATTTGGCTTTAAGTTTTTTCTTTTCATCTATAAACAGTTTCTCTCTGTTTGATTGACTAGGACTTAGGCCAACATTGATTATGCTCTTTGTTGCTTGCTCATAGGAAAGCAAAATTTGAGCAATATATAGGGGATATCATGGGTTTTGATACCATAGCTATTAGCTAAGTTAGCTGTGGTTTTGGATGTCATCTATTAAACACATTTTTTTGAGGTATATAATATTTATCTGCAAATACTCTCACACACTTCTTACCTGTGGTGAGGTTTGAACCATTGACCTCCTGGGAGGCTAGCTTTACCGGTAATCCGATGCCCCTTTGTTATTTAAAAGCATTTCCTCTCATGCAGCTCTCCCCTTATCTCTCTCACACAACAACTATTATGACACGACAACTGTTACTTCCCTATACAGAAAGACTTGAATTTATATCTTAATATATCTTTTAAACTTTACAGGGGACTCGTGATTTTGCAAAAGAACAGATGGCTGTAAGAGAGAAAGCATTCTCAATCATTGGCAATGTGTTCAAAAGGCACGGTGCAATGGCGCTTGATACTCCTGTATTTGAATTGAGAGAAACTCTTACAGGAAAGTACGGGGAAGATTCAAAGTTGATTTATGACCTGGCTGACCAGGTGAGATATGCATAGTTATTTTTGGAATGGTGAGATATTCTAGTTAGTTAGTGGGCAAAGTTATTATAATGTTACGGTCATCCTCATCTTTCTTTTGAAGAAGCAATATCTCTGTCTCTTTTCATAAAGGAAGAATGAGGAGGTCCTTGTAAAATTAGTGGTTGCCATGTATTTACATTTTTCACTTTGTTATTTCATACTCCATTAAAAATGGAACGTTTGATTTTGCACATAGTTTGATAAATGGTTGACTATTGATCAAAGAGGTGAATTCCTCTTTAAGAAGGACAAAATAAAGAAAATTTCTTGACCAAAACCAAAATCAGAGTTACTGTCTACTAATGGGTAAAAAAGTAAAGCATGCTTGAAATTTTCCAAAAATGAAATGTTATGTATTTTGGGACTTCTCAATCCGTTCTGAGAACCTGATGGTTAACATCTGGACCCTTTTTCTCCCTCAAAAGCAATAAAACTAAAAATGAAAATGAAGAGTCATTAATGGGTCTGTAGAATATCTAGCTAGGACTTAAAGATACCGTTTCTATTTGATCTAATTTATAAAAGTAGTGATGCTACTATTCTGGGTAATATTCATCAAATAGTGTCTAAAACTTAAGTAACAAGGCGTAAAATGAGAAACTTCAGAATACAGCTATCTTGGTAGTGCTAAAATGTGAACTTAAGATACAAGATCCTTTGGAGGAGCTTCCTCTCACGTACTTGAAACCTTGGCTTTCTGTTTAATTATATCTTGAATACCATACAACAAATATTTGCTGGGATGAAATTGGGTCACTGGAGGTCTTGGTGGCACATCTAGCACCATGCAGTCATGCCATTATACTTATAAAATGCAGCTGTCTTGGTAGTGCTAACATGCCAAATATATGAAGTTGAAAACTTAGGATACACGATCCCTTTGAGGAGCTTCACCCTCACGTATTCGAAACATTATCTTCTGTTTAATTATTCTCAGAATACTGTATAGCAAATATTTAAGGGATGAAATGGGTTATTGGCGGTTCCGGTAGCAGAACTAGCACCATGAATAGCTGCACTGACACTGAGAGTTCCATGCTCTTATGTCAAGTCAAATCAATAATTTGAACCTAAGAATCTATTCCAATTATTCTTGTTTTTATTGAAGTTCAGTGCATAACCCAAGATTTTGCTGTTCTTGATTAGGGGGGTAAAATGAAATTTGTGGACTTCTTTCACTGTTGTGGCGTTTTTTTATCTTGTTCCATTTGCTTCTTCTGATTTTTTGTCTCTTGTTTGATTTGCTAGGGTGGAGAGCTTTGTTCCCTCCGGTATGACCTAACGGTCCCATTTGCTAGATATGTTGCTATGAATGGTCTCACGTCATTCAGGAGGTACCAAATGGCGAAAGTGTATAGAAGAGACAACCCATCTAAGGGAAGGTACCGTGAATTTTATCAATGTGATTTTGACATTGCCGGTGATGAAACAATAGCAGCTGACTTTGAGGTGGTTAAAATTTTGACTGAACTGTTGGATGAGCTAAACATTGGTGATTATGAGGTAAGTTTTTGTAGAATTTAATGATATCTTCATTGTGCATGTACATGTTCAATTCGACACATAAGATTCTTGCAGAACAGGGTTTATCTTCGTGTATTGTCCCTTGTTTTGATTTCTAATGCATTAATTTTTTTCTTTCTGATGTGATTAATTTACTTTTGTACAAGATTTAAATCATACCCCCGAATCTATGTTTAGCCTTTTCGTGGATTTCTTACAGATTAATTTTCCTCTTCTTTTTCTCTACCTTTACTTATCCTGATAATTTTACTGGTACAAATATTTGTTGAGTGTTCATAGATTAATTTTGTTATCTTGTTCTGTTTCTACCTTTACTTTCTTTCATCAAGTAACATCCCTATCTTTTGCCTGCAGATAAAGTTGAACCATCGAAAGTTGCTGGATGGAATGTTGGATATATGTGGTGTGCCATCTCACAAAGTTCGAACCATTTGTTCAAGTATTGACAAATTAGACAAGCAATCGTTTGATCAAATTCAGAAGGAAATGGTAGGCAAACTGCTCCTTGTTGATATTGTTCTTAGTTAAGTTAGCTATATTCAGTAACTACTTAAGAAATTCTTGAGGGGTGAGTCTTTATGGTTCATGTTTCCCTTGTGCAAATTGGTCACCTTACATTTTATATGGCATGCTAATAAGTAATCGACACATTCAAGTGCCTTCCTATTGCACGTGCCTTTTTTTCCTCTTATCTGTTTCTGATGTGACCCTTTGAGAGTTCCGGGCTGGTGTATATGTGGATCACTATATGCAGTTCATCAAGGAGACAGCAAGTAAAACAGGTTGAAATAGGTCTGACAATAATTATTTATGAAGTTCTTGAGGTAGAGATCTCTGTTGATTTAGGCATTGTTCACTGCTTGTCGTTCCATGAGTTGGATGTCAATAGTTCATTTATAATATCTTCTATGTTAAAGCTCTATTGAGTTTGAGATGCCCCAGAATCATAATGATACCAGGTCATCTACAGGTACCATGAGGATAGGAGGATTGTTTTTGGTGGTTTATGTGTGCCATTATGTTCAAATGAGGCGAAACTCGAGATAGTTTGCTAGAAAAGTTTTATTGGGAGATGATCCATGTTTTGGCTCTTGGTAGATTTAGGTGTTTCCTGGGGATTCGTATTAAGAGCAGACTCTTTATTTGTTAAAGGAAGTATGTTTTTAATATTTTACATGGATGTACGCTAAAACGCAAACCATTCGTATTAGGAAATTATGAATGAAGATGGAAAATCGTTGATGATCCGAAGAAAAGACTGGGAATCTCATTATTTCTTAGTCAGTCATCCAAACATCACATATTAGTAGGTTTCTATCATGCAGTAATCAAGGTTGCTTTGAGGATGCACATCTTATATGCATGACTATCACAAGCACAGAACAGAGTAGTAACCTTCAGAATGTAGGGGCAGCAATATAGGAGGTTCATTATATGTATCTGGTTACTTGGTACATATGTTTGGTATGCTCATGTTTCATGCACCATATAAGATCATTCTACTTTATTTGGTGATCTCGTTTTTATTGAAGATAAAGGAAGAACTTGTTTTTGTTTTCTTGCTTCACTGCCAAGTTCCAAGTCATAAACATCCATGACATAGGTTGAATGATATGGGCTAGATGTCGCCAGTTATGCATAGATCGATGTATTTGCACTGTGACAATCTGGTAGCCATTCATATTGCAGAAAGACCATGTCTTCCATGAGCATACCAAACATATGTAGGATGATCTGCATATGGTGCATGAAACATGGAGCTTCCATCCATCCATCCAATCTATTTATATTCAGACCAAATAACAGCTTTCTCATGTTCTATTGGAGTCTCTATAATGAAGGCCTGTGTCAACTTTATATGTAGGAAGTTGAACATGATATGCATCTTTTCTCCAACTTGAGGAGTATCAAATGTATTGGTATCTTATTTTTTATAATCTAACGATTCATAGCCACAAAAAGGTTTTCAAAGCCTATTAGTCAACTTATGAAATGAACCAAACGAGTATTGAGATTAGGGCAGCTTGGCTCAGGTTCACAGTAAATTGGACTAAAAGATTACTATGACATGCAGTAGCCTTGCGATCTTTTAGTATAGTATTCTGTGTTGCTATAGCCGAGCAATCATATTGTTTCATAGCATGTAATGGTATTGACACTCTTTTGTCTATATTGTTAGATTGAAGAGAAGGGATTAGATGCCAAGACAGTGGAAAAGATTGGTTCATTTGTGAAGCTAAGGGGGCACCCTTTGAAATTACTATTGGAACTCAAAAAAGAAGGAAGCGAATTTCTAACAAATGATGCATCCAATCAAGCATTGAAAGACTTGGAGAAGCTATTTCAAGCGTTGGACAACTCGAGGTGTGTCGACAAAGTGGTTCTGGATCTGAGCTTGGCAAGAGGCCTTGATTATTACACTGGAGTCATATTTGAAGCTGTTTTCAAGGGGGCTACACAGGTCTGATTTTTTTGCTCTGCATTCGGAGCTTTATATTCTGGTCTTTTTTAAATGTATAATATATGGCAAAACTTGCACACACTTCTCACCTTTGGAGAGGCTTGAACCCTTTATCCCAAGAAGGTTGGGATCTACCGGTAAATTGGATACCGTTGAGCCATTGACCTTTTCTGTGGAAGTTTCTACGAGTTGAGCATGTACTTATTCTGTACTGTTCTGTATGCTTATGCTTAAACGCGCGACCTTTTCTGTGGAAGTTCTACAGGTTGGTTCAATTGCTGCTGGTGGACGTTATGACAATCTTATAGGCATGTTTGGTACAAAACGAGTTGCTGCAGTTGGTGTCAGCCTGGGAATAGAACGTGTATTCACAATCATGGAACAACTCCAAAAGGATGAGAAGCAGGTAAAAAGATGGGTCATTGTTAATCTGCGTCTAGTTTGATGTCATTTGTAATGAATGCAGTTGGCACTCTACTCTTTGTGCTTAAGTCACCCCCGACCCTACTTCCGAGTGGTATTTAGTGGGGTCCGTTTGGTTTCTCTTGGTTTATACACCTATTTGGTTTTGTAGGCACTCCGAGCCAGTGAAACACAAGTTTTAGTGAGCATACTGGGGGACGACATATCTTTAGCAGCTAAACTTGTAAGCATGTGTTGGGATGCAAAACTGAAAGCAGAGTTCATGGCCAATAAACGGCTGACAAAGCACTTTGATCGTGCCAAAGAATTTGGGATTCCTTGGATGGTGATCGTTGGTGAGCGAGAAATTAATGAAGGAATTGTGAAGTTGAAAAATAAGGAAGCGAAGGTAGAAGTAGAGGTTCCTACAAGCAATTTTGTGGATGAGCTTATGAGACTGATGAATGATAATGCTGCTGCTGCTGCTGCTGCCTCCAGGTAACTGGAAAAAGGAAAGTTATTGTGACAGTTTTTCTTTCTTTACAATTTATTTGAACTTGTGAGCGGCCTGCAATTTGTAGTTTCACCTTGTAAAACCAATATTTTTGCCACTACTACTTGCTGTTGGTTTTTATGGTTTGTGATTTTAGGTCTAAAATGAGATCCCTTTTTGTTTTCATTTGCATTTGCATTTTCTTTACAAGTTTAAACACGATCAAGGTCTCAATTAGCAGCCGTGAGTTTCTTTCTCCATTTCGTTCCACTTTCAATTAGTATTCTTCTTAGGGGTGTTAATCAGTCGAAATATAATGGGTTTAGGTAAAACTGATCCAACCCAATTATTCATTAGGTGTTGGATATTTGCTGACTCATCTGAATTCAATTAGTATTGGACAACCAACAAGATCGGTTCAAATAAGAAGGCTAAGAGAAAGTTCATATGTGGATTCATTGAAATTTGAAAAATCTAAAAAATCTAGTTGAAGATGCATATGTGAATGAACATTATTGATTATTCATATGGATTCATATATGTATTTTTAAATGGATTTTTTTTAATGATTCACATATGAATATATACTTTTTTAGTCATTAGTTCTTACCTTCTCATGATACAAGCTTTCTTATTTGAAACTTCAACTGATCTTATCAATTATTATAGTTTATCTATTGATTGATATTGAAACCATCTAATATTTTGACTATTAAGCTATATAAGCAATTATTTATATTTTTTCCTTAAATTTATTACATATAGTAGTAAATTTATAATATTAAAAAAGATATTGCAAAATGTTGTTAGTTACATATATTTATTAATTAGATAGATGGACATTGGATTGGATAAGATCAATATTAATATTATTTGGATTTTGGATTGCTCTCCGATTTGGATATCAAAATTTTGGATTCTATTCAACTACAATTGGACGCATACACTTTAACTAATTTCACGAGATCTTGAAGTTAATAGCTAGTAAAAGCTTCAATGATCTTGAAAATATTTGAATTCACGACCTATGGAAAGGAGACTAAGAGGCTGTTTACCAAACACTTACTCGGTAAGCGTTTATCGATAAGATTCGACATTATCATTTACTTAGCGGATAAGATTTTAGTCAACAAAAGCGACATTTTATACAACAATTTACCCGGTAAGCACTAACCCTAGTAAGAGTCGTCGTTCTCACTTACTGGGTAAGACTCTTGGACCTTGTCTCGCTCTTACCGGGTAAGATTCTTGGTCCTTACTATATTCATCTCATAAGATAATGTAACTTGGTAAGCGATTATCCGGGTAAACGGCTGGTAAACGGCCCCTAAAAACATTTCCAAGAGATTTTCTATAATATTCTTCAAATATAAAATCAAAAGTCAAAATTTTTTAAAAAAAATATTATATTCAACTTTAATAGGTTTTCTGTTTTAAAGAATTTCAATATCAATTATATTATTAAAATATTTTATAATTTTATTTTTTTAAAA